ACGTCTAGAGACGTCATCTTGCTACCTGGTATGTTGTAAATACGTCATCTTATATTCAAGAAATGTCGTCATTTTGTCGCCAAAGATATGACGTCAATGGTCTGTGACTTAGGACCGTCATTTTAACGTCACTTTTACGTCAGTTTTAAGGTGGATTTGACGTAACCAATGACGTTATAATGACGATACCTTGCTACCTGGGGTATTGTCAGTATATATTTGTTACCAAAATTTGTCATAGGTAATGGTCCAAAAATATCCATAGAAACTTTGTCAAATGAATCAAGTGGTGTATCGGTGATAATCATAGGCTTTGTTTTTATTCGAACTAATTTTTTCTTTTAGCAATTACTGCATGTACAAATAAAATTCTCGATTTGTGTTTCATATTATCCCAATAATATATTTATGACGTATGCGTGTTATGGTTTTAGTTATACCTTTATGTCCTCCTATATTTGATTCATGATATTCGAATAATTTGTAGTCTATCTTCGTGCTTAGGTATGCATACTTGGCCTTAATATATAATTATCTGTAGATTAGTTCCTAGAAATGCAAGACGTATCATGTTGCAGATTTTAAACCAGGATATATTTATTTTACTTTTGTTTTCAGATATGTTAGCATGTAGTATATTGAATCGTCTCATTTCATTTTTTAATTCTTTGAATCCTCGCATTATGATTTCTTCAGATATTTCTTGTTTTAATTCTTCTTTAATAATTATGCCGAAAGTTCTTTTATTAGGTTTGCCTGCGGTAAATACATGTCCTAGAGTACCTTTAAAATTTTCAGGTATTTGACAGATTTTTCTATATATCAATTCTTTTCCAATTTCGTCTATTGGATTGCCTTTTGTGTTTATAAAATATATTATATGATCCTTCTTCATCCAAATATGATCGCGTGTATATAAAATATTAGTGGGAATTTTTCTTTCTTCTTCAATTGGCATTTGCGAAAATGAATTACTCCTTTTCATTAATTTTTGATTTGTTTAGTGGTTTTAGGGGATTTAAGTTTTACGTTCGTTTGTTTTCTAGGTTTTCGTTTTCTATTAGTAAGGGGAGTTTTTATTTTTGTTTTTCTCTTAGTCATCTCTCTATTAATTTGGGATTTATTCCATGGAAGGGTGAAGAAGCAGTTTCGGTGCTTCCGATTGAGGTACTTTCAGGTGTTTTCTGTTCACGATATTTTAAAGGACTATAATTTATTTCATAATCCATTTTATCTTCTTGATCTATTTTCATATCTTCTAATTCTTCTCTCTTTAATGGAATATCCTTTTCAATGATTTGAATTGCATCTATGTTATCAGGGATTTTTTGTGATGTTTGTATATTTTCTAGATTTTGTGGTGTTCTCACAGAACCATGAGGTGCGTGAATTTGTGCTATGTTAATGTAGGGAACCGCAGGGCTGGTAGGTTCAGTACTCAGTAATCACACGGTAATAATGATACAAGTAATATTTATTCCTCCTTCATACATCAGTGTAAATAAGATCGGCGATAATGTTTATAAGGGGAATGTCGCCTCTGACGTCGGTGTCGTTCCGGGGATGCGGTCTGCGAGCCCGCGTTCCGGACCCGGCGTCGGGTGGACTCTTCGTCTGTCTGCGTCGATGCGTCCTTGGTATCCCTGGGAGTCTGTGTTGCCGTCGACTGAAGACCCTCCTGTCTTCTCGACAATCGTGGGTCCCGCAGGGCTGGTGGTTCTGGCGAGATCCTTGGTGGCGTATACCAGGGTATCAGGGAGGCTGGTACGGACCCTGGTGCGACCGGAGGCGGAAGTGGAGTGTTCGGCCTCGGCTTGAGGACGGCTTTCGGTCTTTCACCGATTTTCTTCGCGCCCCGGGGGTGGAAGGCTGCGATGCTGGTCGCCTGCTTTCGCCCTCCTGGTCGTTTCAATCGGGCCAGTGATGGGTCGTACACGACCTTCTTTCTCTCTTCCCTCAGGGAAGCCGGGATGTGTACTCCGAGAATGACCTTCCGAGGCCAAAATTCCCGGGAGGCCTCTCCCGAGCGTGGGCTCCTGGTAGCCGAGACGCCTTGGGACAGCGGGAGTGCCGCGGGTGGTCCTGGTATCTCCCGGTGGCTCCTTCGGCCGGCGAGTACTGGCGCTGGACGCGTCCTCTTCCGGACGGTAATGATCTCCTCCTGGAGAGGAGGCTCGTTCTCCTTCGCCGCCGTGGTGATGTCTCGGTCGCTTCTTATTCTCGAATCCTGGTTGTTTGCTTCTTGCTGGAATCTTCGGTCTTCTTGATGTGCGTTTTAAAGCAGTAATCGTAAGAGAGGTGCCTTGTCTCTGCGGGGGTCCTCCTTATATCCGCCGCTTGCTGTTTCCAAATTACGGGAAAAGCACAGTTGGCGTGCGCCGCCTGGCGGAGGTGCCCGGTACTAGGCGCGCAGCTTATAACTAGCCGCCGCGTGCCTGTGCGCTTGCGAGAAAGCCAGGCCGCCGCGTGCCTGCGCGCTTGCGAGAAAGCCGGGCCGCCGCGTGCCCGCGCGCTTGCGAGAAAGCCTTGCGCCGAGTCAATGCGCTCTCGCGAAACGTCTTTTGTGGCGTGTACCGCCACATTACCCCCTTCGTTGTATTTTACTAGGATGCTTGGAATCGTACCGTCTTGCGTGAAGTTCTCCCACTTCTTGTTTTGATTTCTGTGGGTACCGGTGTTTCCTGATTTCTTGGAACCGTTGGAGCGTTTCGGGGTTCTATTTGCTTTTTTGTTTGGGCTGGTTCCTCTGCTAATATGTATGCTGGTTTTAATCGGTCCTTTGTTACATGGACGGTTTTCTCGTTGATCCGTAACTTATAGACCTTTTCTGTTCTGTTTAGGACTTCATACGGGCCGCTATACGTTGGTTGGAGTGCCCGTGTTGGTGCGTCATGCCTGAGGAACACGTGTGATGCTTTTTCCAGGTCTTTGTACTGAAAGATTGCCGGCGTTCCGTGTCTCTTAACTGGTTGTGGTCGCAGACTTTTCATAGTTTGCTTGAGTCGGAGTATGAAATCATTTGAGTTCTCCGTTGTGTCCTGTGATTCTTGAAGGAATTCTCCGGGTAGCCTTATTGCTTCTCCATATACCAATTCTGCCGGTGTTGCGTGAAGATCTTCTTTGAAGGCTGCCCTGATCCCCATCATGACTACTGGCAGAATCTCTGTCCATGCTTCTGTTGCGTGACATTTTATTGCTGTTTTTATTTGGCGATGGAGGCGTTCTACCATGCCGTTTGCTGCAGGGTGATAGGCCATTGTATGCACTTGCGTTGTACCTGTTATTTTGGTTAATTGTCGGAACAAGTCGGCCTCGAACTGCCTTCCTTGATCCGTTGTGATCCGAACAGGTGTGCCGAATCTTGCGATCCAGTGGGTGAATAGATTCTGTGCTATTGTTTCTGCGGATATGTCTGTTACTGGTATAGCTTCGGGCCATCTGGTAAATCGATCGATCACCGTGAGGCAATATCTATAGCCTTTTGAAATGGGTAGAGGTCCGACCAGATCTATATGTATATGCTCGAACCGTTTTGAAGGGGTCTTAAAACTGCCGAGAGGTGTCCGATTGTGCCTCTGTACCTTGGCTCGCTGGCAGTTGATACAGGCCCGTGTCCATTGATGGCAATCCGCTTTTATTCTTGGCCATACGTAACGTTCTGCAACTAATTTCGCTGTAGCTTTGGTCCCTGGGTGTGACAGGCTGTGTAGCGATTGAAATACTTGTCTTCTGTATTCCTTTGTGACGAACGGTCTTGCGATTGGTGTCGTTGTGTCACAATATAGTGTGAAATTCGTCCCAGAAATTTGTATCTTCTGCAGCTTCAGTGCTGAGTCTTTACTTATTAATTCTTGTAATTCAGTGTCGTCTTCTTGTGCTTTCGCTAGATCCTCTAGGTTAACTGATTCCTGGATCTTTTCGACTCTTGACAATGCATCGGCGATAGTATTATCTTTTTCTGAAATATGTCGTATATCGGTAGTAAATTGTCCGATATACTGTAGATGTCTCGTCTGCCTTGGTGAACTATGCAGTGGGTCTTGCTGAAAGGCGTATGTGATTGATTTGTGGTCCGTGAAGATTGTAAAGTCTCTTCCTTCGAGCATATGGCGGTAATGCTTAATGGCGGCATAAATCGCCAATAGCTCTCTATCATAAGGGCTGTATTTTTGCTGCGCTGGGTTGAACTTTTTGCTGAAGAAGGCTAATGGCTGCCATTCTTCTCCGTTCCGTTGTTGAATCACTGCACCTATTGCTCTGTCAGAAGCGTCTGTCGTGAGTGTGATCTCTGCTTCAGGTTTGGGATGTGCTAGCATCGTTGCCCTGGCAAGGCTTTCTTTGCATTTCAGGAAGGCCTCATCTAATTCTTTGTTCCAGGTAATTGGTGATTTCTTTTTGATCTTCGGACCACTGAGTACATCGTTTAGTAGTACCTGTTCCTTTGCAGCGTCGGGTATGAATCTTCGATAGAAATTGAGTGTCCCCAAGAATTGGCGCAGTTGTTGTATGTTCTGTGGTTTAGGAAAACTCTCTATTGCTTTGATTCTGTCTGGCGGGGTTTGTGTCTCTTTTTCCGAAACTTCGTACCCTAGGAAAAGTACTTGTTTAGCTCCGAAGATGCATTTAGTGGGATTTAGCAGAATGCCGTTTTCTTCCAACCGTTTGAAGAGTTTGCGTAGATGTTCTTCATGTTCCTCTTCGTTGCTGGAGGCCACCAGGATGTCATCGATGTATGCGTAACAGAATTCCAAATCACTCGTAATCTCATTTATGAAGCGTTGGAATGTCTGTGCCGCATTGCGTAAACCGAACGGCATGTATCGGAACTCGAAGAGACCGAAGGGAGTAGTAATTGCCGTTTTTGGTATATCGTTTGGATGCACAGGAATTTGATTGTACGCCCGAACTAGGTCCAATGTTGAGAAAATCCTTTTGTTATGGAGAGTCTGCGAGAAATCTTCTATATGCGGGATCGGGTAGCGGTCTGGTCGTCCTTGCATTCAGGCGTCTGTAGTCTCCGCAAGGTCTCCATGCGTTTTCTTTCTTCTGAACCATGTGTAGAGGGGCTGACCAAGGGCTTTTTGATGCTTGTATAACCCCTCTCGTAGCAGGAGGTTGAATTCTACTTTTGCTGCTTTTAGTTTATTCGGATCTAGCCGACGAGGGCGGCATGCCTCCGGTGGTCCCTCTGTAGTTACGATATGGTGCACGGTGGAGTGTTTGATGGTCCGCGCCCTAGTTGTAGCTCTTGTAATCTCGGGAAATTCCGCGAGGATGCGATGATATTTGTTTTCGATTGTCAATACCTTTATTGACTCAATGGATCCTGCCTCTGCTGTACCCTTGATGTGTAGCTCTGTTTTCCCGTCCACCAGCACTCCTTTTTGTAAGTCCGGTAGGAGATGGTAGTAGCTTAGGAAGTCTGCTCCGATAATGGGTGATGTGACGTTTGCTATGACGAATCGCCATGGAAATGAACGTCGTAGTCCTAGGTTTGGTTGTAGCGTGATCCATCCGTATGTAGTGATCAGAGAACCGTTTGCTGCGAATAACTCGTAATTCGTTGGCAATGTATGTCCTGTTGTCATCGAACGGGGATATACGCTTACATCGGAGCCTGTGTCTATGAGGAAACGTTCTTTGGTCGCTCGGCATGTTACATGGAGGCGGCGGGGTCTTGGGGCGGAGCCACTGGCCGCCATTAGTGGCTGCCCTGGTCTTTTTTCGAGTCTTTGTAAGTGCACGGCTGCGTGCATTTTTTTGCTTTTTCGCCGAATCTATTATGATAGAAACAGTGATTTTTATTATACTCTTTGCTTCGGCTTCGGCTTCGGCTCCTTCTGTCCGAGTCCTTTTCCTTTGTTCTTCCTCTCGAAAGACGTGTGGTTAAGGTTGCCACTTGTTTCGCTAATGCCTGGATTTGTTTTTCCAGTGTTGGGCTAGATTTTTTTTGTTTAGGAGCATCAGTTACTGCTACGATGGCCCTTGATGACATTTCATGGATGCGGTCGGCTTGTTCAGCTACTTCATTGAGGCGATCCTCAGTGCGGGTTGCGAGAATCATTTGCATTTGATTGGGAAGTCTACCAAGCCAAAGTGTTCTTAAGAGAGAATCAGGCACGTTTTCCCCTGCTAATGTGCGCAGGTGTCGTAGAAATTGCGAAGGTTTCCGATCGCCGATTTCCTCTAGTTCTAATAACTGCCGTGTCCGCTGCTCCTGGGAGATTGACATTCGTTGGATGAGAGCTCTTTTTATGGTTTCATATTTGTCCGCTTCGGGGGCTTGCGTTATTATGTCTTTAACCTCTTTTATCTGGCGTGAATCCAATTGGGAGAGGACGTAGGAGTATTTTGTGGAATCCTGTGTTATGCCGCTGAGTATGAATTGTCTCTAGTTGTGCGAACCACAATTCTGGTTCGTCGCTCCAGAAAGGGGGGATCTTAACCGCTACTTTATGAACGATTTCTCTTGCCTCGTTCTCCATCTTATTACCGTGTACGTCGGGGTCACCAATTTGTAGGGAACCGCAAGGCTGGTAGGTTCTGTATTCAGTAATCACACGGTAATAACGATACAAGTAATATTTATTCCTCCTTCATACATCAGTGTAAATAAGATCGGCGATAATGTTTATAAGGGGAATGTCGCCTCTGACGTCGGTGTCGTTCCAGGGATGCGGTCTGCGAGCCCGCGTTCCGGACCCGGCGTCGGGTAGACGTCTGTCTGCGTCGATGCGTCCTTGGTATCCCCGGGAGTCTGTGTTGCCGTCGACTGAAGACCCTCCTGTCTTCTCGACAATCGTGGGTCCCGCAGGGCTGGTGGTTCTGGCGAGATCCTTGGTGGCGTATACCAGGGTATCTGGTACCAGGGAGGCTGCTACGGACCCTGGTGCGACCGGAGGCGGAAGTGGAGTGTTCGGCCTCGGCTTGAGGACGGCCTTCGGTCTTTCACCGATTTTCTTCGCGCCCCGGGGGTGGAAGGCTGCGATGCTGGTCGCCTGCTTTCACCCTCCTGGTCGTTTCAATCGGGCCAGTGATGGGTCGTACACGATCTTCTTTCTCTCTTCCCTCAGGGAAGCCGGGATGCGTACTCCGAGAATGACCTTCCGAGGCCAAAATTCCCGGGAGGCCTCTCCCGAGCGTGGGCTCCTGGTAACCGAGACGACGCCTTGGGACAGCGGAAGTGCCGCGGGTGGTCCTGGTGTCTCCCGATGGCTCCTTCGGCCGGCGAGTACTGGCGCTGAACGCGTCCTCTTCCGGACGGTAATGATCTCCTCCTGAAGAGGAGGCTCGTTCTCCTTCGCCGCCGTGGTGATGTCTCGGTCGCTTCTTCTTCTCGAATCCTGGTTGTTTGCTTCTTGCTGGAATCTTCGGTCTTCTCGATGTGCGTTTTAAAGCAGTAATCGTAAGAGAGGTGCCTTGTCTCTGCGGGGGTCCTCCTTATATCCGCCGCTTGCTGTTTCCGAATTACGGGAAAAGCACAGTTGGCGTGCGCCGCCTGGCGGAGGTGCCCGGTATTAGGCGCGCAGTTTATAACTAGCCGCCGCGTGCCTGTGCGCTTGCGAGAAAGCCGGGCCGCCGCGTGCCTGTGCGCTTGCGAGAAAGCCGGGCCGCCGCGTGCCTGCGCGCTTGCAAGAAAGCCGGGCCGCCGCGTGCCCGCGCGCTTGCGAGAAAGCCTCGCGCCGTGTCAATGCGCTCTCGCGAAACGTCTTTTGAGGCGTGTACCGCCACAGTTAATATTAGTTTCAGTTTTAAAACTGTCGTCAGATAAAACTATTTCCATCGGCTTTTTTTCTGTATTATGTAATTCTATATGCCGATAATTTTGTTCGCTTTCAAAATCTTCATTTGCTGTTTTCTTATGTGGATGTTCAACAGGAGATGTTATTTCTATAGGCGATGTTCCAGGTGTGGTATCGAGATTAGCATTCTTCGGTTGATGAATTTGATTTTTCGTTTTTATGCATTTTCCTTCGATTTTTTTGTTTTACGCGTCGCCCTTGTCCAGATGAGCTGCTTTTGTGTTTTCTCTTTTGTTTTTTGGAAGTCATTTCAGAATTATCGTCGCTATCAATATCGGTGTCGTAATAATAAGATATGGTACTGCTATCACTATCCGACAATGTAACTCATGTAACTCGATACGTTCTTCCTTGTTCGAATCGTTGTAAGTTGGTAAATTATCAGTCCTTATTTTTTTATGTGGTGCCGGGTTACCAGATCCGTCACTACTTGTAGTTAACTGTCTTTTAGAAATAGGATGTGACGTTTTTATTTTTGATAGAGTTTATGCGAGATTGACGCGGGAGGCAAGCGCGAAACCGAAGGATAAAAATCCGCGAGGAGAGAAAACGAAGAGAAATTAATTCGACGATAAATCTAAGTCTTTTAACAATAATAGTCAGTTTATTATAACAATTATAACACTAATTATAATACACAGTCTTAAATTAATTACGCGAAAGCGATTTCAGAATCCGCGAGCAACGGAGACGACTGATTCAATCCGCGAGCAACGGAAGAACGTTTTTTCTCGTGATCGAAAAATAAGTGAGTGCGTCGAGTACCTTTAAGCCAAGAAGCGCCGTGTTCCGCGAGCGCGTCAATTTATAGCGGAGCCCTTCTCGAAAGATCCCGATTTTTCGTGAACTAATATAAATGTTCAAAACGAACGGTTAAGAATTTATTTATTTTCCTTGGATCTTTCGAGAAGGGCAAGCGCTGTTTTTAAATTGCGCTGACAAAGCGATGTCGCGCTAACGGCTGCCAGGGGCGCCGAATGATCGCTCGGACCCTCGCTCCTTTTAGCGAGGGCGTTTTGAACATTTCCGCCCGCCTCGCCAAGAGCGTTTGGCGAAAAGAATGGCTAGCGGAGGATATGCAGCTCGTCGGGAGCTCCGAACTACTGCGATGGAGGCTCGTGATCTCCATGACCGTTGATGGGGAGCACGACGAGCTTCACGACGGGTCGTACCAACTCGGAGGCTGCGGTGCGCAATGTCACTACGCGAACTTGACCATCCTCTCCGGGGTGGATTTTCGCGATACGCGCGAGTGGCCATTTCGTGGGTGGTGTGAGTTCGTTCCGGATGAGGCAAAGTCGGCCGACCTTGAAGCCCGTCTCTTCGCGCAACCACTTAGGACGGTGAGTAATGGAGTGGAGGTACTCCTTCGACCAGCGTTCCCAAAAATGGTCTCTCATTTTTTGCAGGAGCTGCCAGCGAGATAAGCGGGACGTTGGTTCATCCAGCAAGGACGGCTCGGGCACTGCAGTCAGGGCGGCTCCCACCAGGAAGTGTCCAGGCGTCAGCGCAGCCAAGTCCTCAGGGTCGTCCGAGAGTGCCTGCAGCGGCCGCGAATTAAGGCACGCTTCTACCTGAGTGAGGAAGGTACTCATCTCCTCGAACGTCAGCTTGGCGTCGCCAATCACTCGTCGGAGATGGTGTTTGAGCGACTTGACTGCGGCTTCCCAAATGCCTCCGAAGTGCGGCGCTGAGGGAGGATTGAACCTCCACTCGATCCTCTCGGAGGCGAGGCTGTCGATGATCCGGTGGTTTTCTGGCGTGCCCGCGGTGAAGAGGGCTGTCAGCTGGGAATCGGCTCCCACGAAGGTTGTCCCGCAGTCGCTTCGAAGGCTGCGACAGATGCCTCGGCGAGAGACGAACCGCCTGAGGGCCGCAAGGAAGGCCTCGGCCGTGTAGTCGGAGACTACTTCGAGGTGTACGGCTCTGGAAGCAAGGCAGACGAAGACCGCTACGAAGGCCTTGTAGGAGCGGTGTCCGCGCCCCTTGGTTGTGCGAAGTTGAATCGGCCCGGCATAATCGACCCCAGTGTGAAGGAAGGGCCTCGCTGGTACCACGCGCTCCCGTGGAAGATCGCTCATCAGCTGTTGTGGTGTCGCCGCCCGCCATCGCACGCAAGGGAGACATCGCAGGATAGCCTCCTTGACCAGTGCTCGACCCCGTGGAATCCAATAATGTTGGCGGATTAATGAGAGAGTGAGCTGTGTTCCGCCGTGCAACGCTCGTTTATGGCAGTCGTCCACAATTAGCCGAGTGAGGTGCGAGCCCTTCGGCAGGAGGACGGGGTGACGCTCGTCATAGGCTAGGATGGAGTGCTTGAGTCGACCCCCGACTCGCAGGAGACCCTCGGTACCTAAAAAGGGACTAAAGCGAGCAAGTGAGTTTGATTTACTTAAGGCAAGGCCCTGACTTATTAATTTTAACTCGGCCCTGAATTTTTCAGATTGTACTCGCCGGATCCAACAAACTCGAGCTCTCTCTATCTCCTCTGCGGACAAAGTACTGGGGAAGCGCTGTTGAGTGCCAGTGGACCGATCCTCTCTTACTCTCAGCCACCGCCGACACCAGGCTGTCACGCGTAGGAGCCTCTTCAGGGAGGAGAACCGCACCAGCTCGGCGGCCTCGCTCATCGGCGCTGCTGTGGCTTTGACATGGACTCGTGTGCGCTTCTCCGGCAGGTGCTCTTCGGTGATGTGGCCGACGGCGGTCGGCCATGCGGTGGCGTCTAAGCGTAGCCAAGGCGGACCTTGCCACCACAGAGGATGGCTCTGCAGTTCCTTGGGAGAGAGACCTCGGGAAGCGCAGTCCGCTGGGTTGTCCTGGCCTGGAACGTGATGCCACGCAGCCTGCGGAGTGGTCCTCTGAATCTCTGAGACGCGGTTCGCGACGTAGGTTTGCCACCTGGATGGGTGGCCGCGGATCCAGCCCAGCGCGACGGTGGAGTCCGTCCATAGGTGAAGCGGCGCAGTCAGGTCGAGGATTGTCAAGGCGTGTTTGGCTAGTCGGCAGAGAAGGACGGCGGCGCTTAACTCCAAACGAGGTAAGGACACCTGTTTGAGCGGTGTGACCTTTGTTTTCGCGGTGATTAGGCGGACAATCCACGAGTCGTTTGACCATGTTTTTAGGTACACGACGGCGGAATATGCTCGTTCTGAGGCGTCGGAGAAGCCATGGACCTCGACGCGGGTGCAAGAAGGACCCAGATTAATCCAGCGAGGTACTCGGATTTGCTCGAGTACTGGTATCTGGGCGTGAAAGGTGACCCAGGCTGACGCGGAGGCGTCGTCGAGCGGAGCGTCCCACTCAAGTCCTTGAAGCCAAGTCGATTGGAAGGCAATCTTGGCGCGGACCACGACCGGTGCTAGCCAGCCGAGAGGGTCGAATAGCTGCGCCACCAGAGACAGTACAGACCTCTTGGTGACGGATGGCAGTGCGATGTGCCGGGTGGCGAAAGAGAAATCGTCCGTGGCGGGGTGCCACTGCAGTCCTAAGGTGGAGTGAGCCTCGTGTGGTCGCCAGTCACGGGTCTCGCGCTGCAACTGGTGCTCCGGCGGGATATCCCAGATCACCGCTGAGTCGCTGGCTGACCACTTCCGGAGAGGGAAGCCGCCCGCCATGCAGATACTGGACAGCTGTTTGCACATCTCCTGGGTCTCCGCCATCGTCGCTGCTCCGGTTAAGATGTCGTCCATGTAGACATCTCGCAGGAGAACGGCCGCTCCTAGAGGGTACTGCTTACCCTCGTCCTCAGCTAATTGCCTGAGAGCGCGCATCGCTAGAAACGGAGCACACGCTAGGCCGTAGGTCACTGTGCTCAGCTGGTACTCGGCAGGGCTGTCTTGCGGGGAATCCCGCCACAGGATCCTTTGCAGATCCCTGTCATCCGGGTGTACCAAGATCTGTCGGAACATCTTTTCGACGTCGGTGGCTAGACCGAAGCGGTGCCGTCGCCAACGGAGTAGCACGTCGGCGAGCGGAGGCAACAAGTTCGGACCCACCATCAAGTGATCGTTGAGGGTTCTTTTCGAAGTAGTTGGCGTGGAGCCGTTAAAAACTACGCGCAGCTTCGTGGTGACACTGTTCTTCCGCAGCACGCCGTGATGCGGCAAGTAATGCACCGGTCTGCGCGACGTAGCGTCCGGAGTCACGCGAGACATATGACGCAGGTCCTCATACTGCCGCATGAAGTCGGCATAGAGGGCTCGAAAAGGAGGATCCCGAGCGAAACGTCTCTCCATGCTGAAGAGAACTCGTAAAGCCGTGGAGCGCGTCACCGAGAAGTCTGGCAGCGGGGCAACGACCGGCAGACGTACGACGTACCGACCGTCCGCGGACCGCGAATGTGTCTGGCGGAAGAAGTTCTCGCACTGTTGATCCGCGGGTGAGAGAGCTACCGCGGCGTCGGGTAGCTCTTCTTGCTGCCAGAACCTTTGTACGAGAGCGCCTAGGTCTTCCTCGACCAGGCAGTGATGTGCTGACGCATGGCGCGATGTGGACGTCGTACCGACGGCCCCAGACAATATCCAGCCCAGCGCCGTCTTTTGTGCCACAGGTTCCCGTGATTTCCCTCGTCGAAGTCCAGCCTGGAGGATCATGGCGTAGACGTCTGCTCCTAGAAGGATGTCTATGGGATCCGTCGCCAAGAAGTCCGGATCGGCGAGCTCCAGCCCATGGACGTGCGTCCACGCCCGACGATTGGCCTTGATTCCGCCTTCATAAAGTGTGAGCCGGGGGAAAACCAAGGCGGCCACGCTTATTAAAGGCCCGTCGCGCAGGGAGCGGATCTGAAGAGTGACTTGACCGCGGGCGAGGCCCGTCTGCTTGCCGCCGATTCCATACACGGCGACGGAGGTAGGAGACCGACCTAGGCGAAGACGTTGGGCCAAAGCTTCGGAAACTAGCGAGGACTCCGAGCCCTGGTCAACTAGTGCGCGTGCAGTGTGAGCGCGGCCGAACCGGTCCAGGACGCGAACGCGCGCGGTAGCGAGGAGAACTGTCGTCGTCGCCTCGACTTTGTGTTGCGCTAAGTGTGACGTCTTAGCGCTCTCGCCGGACGGACATGCCTCGTGGAGGGTCGTGTGGTGACGCGCGCGACACGACGAACAAGTCTTTTGAGAAGAACACTCGCTTACCTTGTGCCTTCCTAGGCAGTTCAGGCACAAGTCGTTCGCCTCGACGTGACGCTTCCTTTCCTCCGCCGTCTTGCTCTGGTAAAGGTCACAGAACATAATATAGTGATCCTGACCGCATAGGGAGCAGCGACCTCGCTTACTGTCCTGCTTACGCGTGTGAAGAGTGCGAGTCTTCTGTGTCGGACTTGGATGCGGTTTAGAAGAAATGGCTTCGACCTTGACAGGCTGCAACGATTCTAAAGTGTGCAGCCGACGATCCAAGAAGAGCTGGAGTTTGTCGTACGAGGGTGGATCGTTGGAATCACTAATGAAATTCTCCCACTCGCGGCGAGATCGAGGATCAAGCAGGTCAACGACGAGGTGCACGAAAAGATCTTCACCCTTCGTGATCGGGCGCCCAATGCTCTCCAGTGATCCTACCGTGCTCTTCACGCTGTGGCAAAGTTTGCGCAGTTCCACCACGGACTCGCTCTTCAGCTTCTGGAGTGACGTAAACTGGGAGATGTAACTGCGCACCAGGAGCCGCTTGTTCTCATAGTAAGCAACGAGAACATCCCATGCGCGTTCGAAATTCTCGGTTGTCGTGGGCAGGCTTCGAATCAATAATTCTGCTTCTCCTTTCAGGCATGTCTTCAGGTAGTGGAGCTTCTCGACTGAGGACGTGAGAGTGTCCCTTCCGATTAGCGATTGGAAGAGATCACGGAAGGCTGGCCAATCCTCGTACTTCCCGGAGAAATGAGGCAGCTGGATCCTCGGAAGAGTCGTGCGGGGTGCTTGTGAGGACGGCTCTGACCCTCTCGTGCCAGCTTCCTTCTCTTCCGTCTTGAGGTTACGCAGGAGGTCCAACAGCAGACCCTTATTGGCGAGGTAGGCCTCTTCAGCCAGAGCAGGTATGTCGAGTCTTATGTACTCTGAATCGGCCACTTGGTCGAGATAATTCAAGAGCTCATCGTTGTGCGCGTCGAACTTCGTCCAGTACCTTTCCAAGGACTGCAATCGCGCCTCCACTGCGCCCACCGTGATCTTGGCAGCGCCCAGCTTCATCAGGTTCTCGTGAGTACGGGCAATTTTGCCGTAGAGATCCGTTGCAGCGGTGATTGTCAACTCGGCCTTGCGACTCATGATGACTGAATTTCAGGTGACTGGTGTTCGGAGCACAGAGAACCACAACACTTCGCACTCACTCCGCGTCGTAGAAAAACCGGTCACTAAATATCCGGCTCGAAGGACCAGCAAATGATAGAGTTTATGCGAGATTGACGCGGGAGGCAAGCGCGAAACCGAAGGATAAAAATCCGCGAGGAGAGAAAACGAAGAGAAATTAATTCGACGATAAATCTAAGTCTTTTAACAATAATAGTCAGTTTATTATAACAATTATAACACTAATTATAATACACAGTCTTAAATTAATTACGCGAAAGCGATTTCAGAATCCGCGAGCAACGGAGACGACTGATTCAATCCGCGAGCAACGGAAGAACGTTTTTTCTCGTGATCGAAAAATAAGTGAGTGCGTCGAGTACCTTTAAGCCAAGAAGCGCCGTGTTCCGCGAGCGCGTCAATTTATAGCGGAGCCCTTCTCGAAAGATCCCGATTTTTCGTGAACTAATATAAATGTTCAAAACGAACGGTTAAGAATTTATTTATTTTCCTTGGATCTTTCGAGAAGGGCAAGCGCTGTTTTTAAATTGCGCTGACAAAGCGATGTCGCGCTAACGGCTGCCAGGGGCGCCGAATGATCGCTCGGACCCTCGCTCCTTTTAGCGAGGGCGTTTTGAACAATTTTTTATAATCTTTTTCTGCTGACGTATCACTAGATGTAGAGAATGCGCGTTTAGCATGTAGTGGATATATATTTTTTATATCCTCGATAGGATTTCGAGATAAAGCATCTGCATTTTTATTATTCTTTCCAGGTTTATATTTTATTTCATACTCGTATTCCGTGAGTTTTAATCGCCATCTCATTAATCGCGATGTAGGATCTGATACTGAGTTTAATCATTCTAAAGGTTTATGATCCATAACAAGTGTAAATTTACGACTGTAAATGTAAGGACGAAAATGTTTGACTGCATACACAAGAGCTAATAATTCTCTTTCAGTAGGTGAATATCTAGTTTCGGCGTTATGTAATACTCGTGATGCGTAAGCTATAGGGAGAACAGATCCCATTTTTCCTTGACTTAAAATTGCTCCGATTGCATATCCGGATGCATCTGTTGTTATAATAAATGGCTCATTAAAATTTGGATATTGTACACAAAACTTCTGAACACAAAACTTCTCGCAGTTTATCAAAAGCTTCTTGTTATTCTTTCTTCCATTCGAACATATTTGATTGTTTGGCTAAATCTGATAATGGCTTGGCTATTTTAGAAAAGTTTTCTATAAATCTTCGATAGTATCCAACAAGTCCAAGAAATTATTTAATATTTTTTCTGGTTTTTGGCATTGGAAAATTTTGTACAGCCATTATTTTTTTTGATCTGGTCGTACTCTATTTTCGCTTATTATGTCCGAGATATGCTACTTCTCTTTTTAAAAATTCACATTTATCTGGTTGTAGGAATAAATTTGCTTCTGATAAACGTTTCATTAATCGTTGAAATTTTATTTCATGCTCTTCAAGTGATCGTGCGTATATAACAATGTCGTCTAAATAAACAAATAATTCGATTCTCTGCAATCCCGTTAATACTTGATCCATTAATTTTTGAAACGTAGCAGAAGCATTCTTTAATCCGAATGGCATGCGATTATATTCAAAATGTCCGTAAGGCGTCGAAAAAGCTGTTTTATGTTTGTCATCTTTATCCATTAAAATTTGATGGAATCCAGATGCTAAATCAAATATTGAAAAATATTTTGCACTTCCCAATTGATCGAGTATATCTACAATATTTGGTAATGGATATGCGTCGCCCACCGTTTTTTCATTTAAGGCACGAAAATCTATGTCTAAATGCCATTTTTTATTGCCTAACGAATCATCTTTCTTTGGAACAATCCATAAAGGAGAATCATAAGGTGAACTTGATGGTTCTATTACACCTTTTTCTAACATTTCTCCAATCTGTCGTTGTATCTCTTCCTTATGCACTTGAGGATATCGATACTATTTGACATTAATTGGACGGTCATCGTTAGTGAATATACGGTGTTTTAACACGTTAGTTGCTCCTAAAGCTTTTCCTGGTAAATGGAATCTTTCCTTATTTTACGTTACCAAGTTCTTACCTTATAAGTTATCTTACCTTATTTTACGTTACAAGTTAATGACATTTACTCTTTCTTCTTCGTTTAAATGATCGAGATGTAGTAATTGCAATATTTTATTGACTCGTGATTCTAGATCTCTTGACTCGGATTCGTTGATTTCCTTTATTTCTTTGTTATTCTTTGTTTCCTCAAACGGATATAGTTTTACTGTAGGGATCGCTAACTTTATATCCTCATCTGATGAATTTATAACATATAGATATGCAATTCCGTGATGATTGGATACGACGCACAGTGGATTGAAACATAGGAAAGAGCGGACATCACACTTGTAAGAATGATATAACAATTAAATACAACTAGATCGAAATAATTATGCACACACAATTATGAAGTGTATACCTAATCAATTTAAATAATTGTTGAATGCAATATTGTATTAAACAACAATTTTTAAAAATTTATATAAATATCGCGCCAACATTACTGGTAACCAATATATTACGTAAAAAGATTGCACGGTCTTGCGTGAAGACTTCCGTGAAGAAATTCCATAATTATATGCATTGACATCAATAGTTTTATGAAGTACTTTGTTGATATCATTTATCTCAGAAGATTTTGCCTCAAAGATAACATATGGAACAAGATAATATCTTATAAAGCTACACACATTTTACCAATCAACCATAGTGAACAACATTTCGTAATTTACAACAATATTATCACATTTTGTGAGTAATAGTTTTGTTGTTTCTTTTTGTATTCTTTCCTTTGTTTTTTTTTAATTTCTGGATTTTCATGAACGAATTCGACTTTTATCGGACGACATCGACAATACTAAGTTCATTGATTTTAATATGAAGTTAATGGATTTGAATTTTCACACAACATCAGGTCATTCATTAATTTAATAAGAACAAAAGTAGTCAATAGTATTATCCACGTCTGTTACATTTTTTTTTTAGATTTTCTCGAGGTGCCCTCTCTCTTTTTGCAATATATCTTTCAAGGTAGCAGATAGGAGCAGCTAAAATATGTCATTTCATGAAGTAGAACACTCCTTTAATCAAATCTGATAAGTCAAAGTTTAAGATATTGTTGTGCCCGGCGCGGCACAGGGTGTGGGGTAGCCGGGGAAAGAAAATAATCGCTCCAATTATATAACAACAGAAATTTATTATACAGAATATACTTGTTTTTTCCTTATCTTTAGTCGGTTTTTTTCAAACCTTAATGTCGTCCTTTCCTGGATCGTTCGTGGTTAGTAATTATGTTGGGAGCTTCGTAGCACGGCGGCTAGCCTTCGGATTCGCACTATGTCTTATCAACGGTTGTTCTCGTTGCACAATTTAATGTTTAGTCTTCGCGCACTACTCTGACTATAGATTCACTGTTTATGACTGTCCGCCGCGGATCCGCGGTGGACGGCTTTTATTCCCTCAATTTTGGGGATTTTTGGAGGGGATCGCCCGGCGACATGACCATGTATGGTCATGGAGGTTTTTCCGGGTCGTCCAAAGTCCAAGTGCTAACGAAGGAAGTTCAAAGTTGAATTCCTTCGTTAGCGTTTTTGCGCTTCCGGGTGAACGTTCTTACGCTTGGATCGCTAAGGCAGCGATTCTATCAGGCTGCCGCATTTCCCAACAATATTTCATGCTGACACTTATTTTAATTATATATAGGATGTAACGATGCATTCCGGTGCATCGTTACGATTCCCGGCATAACATCCGCTGGAAGCTGCCGCCCGGCAGAACACCCGCCGGGCAGAGGCAGGGGCGCGGTGCGCCCACCTTTTTAAGATTGCCGAAAATCAAAATTCGGCCGAACATCGCCGAACAGAGTCGATGTGGCCCGAACCGTCGACCGGCGAAAGCCCGCGTTCGGCTCCTACCCGAATCCCTCCGAACGGGCCCGACCGTACCGCTTTCCGAAAACCCGTTCGGAAGGGGTTATACCGTCACGCGCCGACGCGGGCAATTAGCCCGTATAAAAAGGGCCACATTTTTGACGCTAATGACATTTTTCCGATCCGCTTGAAGCAGTACGCTTCCAAAAGCAATCCTCGAGAAATCCTATCAAACGCACAGAAAGAGCTGAAGACAGAGGTGGAGCGTGCTCCGTCTCCGAACGAGAGTTCTCGATTCTGACGCCAAAAGTGCAATCCGCCTAATCCGCAGCTGCAACCCTCACGGAAGGTGGAGCTTGAGCCGCCCCGGATCGGGAGTTACCGATCCAGCTGCATCGCGCAATCCATCCTTCGCGAAATAAAAACCAGGGTTATACGCACCGAACATCGTTGCACGCATCACCTGCAATTCCGCGAGCGCAGAAACGAACGCTAGAAACGAACGCGTAAACACCGCCGCGTTCAAGCGCATACGCGATTTATACGCGGACTTTAAATCGCGAAATAAATATTACGGCGAAAATCACCGTCGATTCCGAGAACCGAAGCATTCTCGGAATCTCGGGATTCCCCGCAGAAAAAGCGCCGCAAAAACGCGCGCCGTCTCGCGCGATCGTAAACATCTGCCGGCGTGCGAAAACGAGGCCGAAATTAATCAGCATTAATATTCGGCCTAATTACGCGAACCACGCGATTTATATCCGAGCTGTTATAATCACGCACACGCTCACACACTCGTCCACTCATTTACACACTCTAACACTGTACACATATTCATTCAAACGCAATAAAGGCAATTATACCACACACACCGCGTATTTCATTCAACGAAACCTACCACCGGCGATCTATCCGCGCTAAGAAAAACGTTCGGAAATACGACCGTCACAAGGTACTAATATTTAAATAGGTTATAGTCTGCGAGACTATAACATCCCTTCCCCGTTAAAAAAGAAAAACGGAGGTTTAAACGAAGTTTTTCTAT